CCATTTAAAAAATCAGGTTATTATTGTTTTTGCTGGAGTTGTAGGAGTTCTTTATATATTTTGAAGATTAACCCTATATCAGATAAGTGGTTTGCAAATATTTTCTCCTATTTAATAAGCTGCCTTTTGACTCTAGTGATGATTTCTTTTGCTGGGCAGAAGTTTTTAGTTTGGGTATCCCCACTTGTTTATTGTTTATTTGGTTGTTTTTTCGTTTTGGTTTTGATTTTGTTTTTTATATTTTTATTTATTCATTTTGAGAGAGAGAAGGAAAGAGACATGGACAGAATCCTAAGCAGCCTCCGTGCTGCTAGTGCAGAACCTGATGAGGGACTTGATCTCACTAATGGTGAGATCATGACCTGAGCCTAAATCAAGAGTGGGACACTTAACCGATTGAGTCTCCAGGTGCCCCTTTTTCATTTTTGTTTTGCCAGGACTTAAATAACTCAACCTAGGTGACACACTGGTAAGTGTCCAAACTGGGATTTGAGCCCAATCAGTCTAGTTCTAGGTTATAGGCTGAGTTGTTAGCTACCATACTTTAATAGTGCATTTTTAACTTCTAGATTGGTGGTTTTCCAGCATTAAAGTATTTTTGATAAGTAATTAATCTCAAGACCTGAAAGACTGCCCCTTTTGAATCTATAAGGCTAACCAGAAAAAGAATATATGTAAATTATCTAAATTATCTGTGGGAAGGCAATCACTACTCAACATCCAGTCAAAGATACAATGTCTTAGTTGGTTTCTTTTTTAAACTTACCTACTTGTATTTTTATGTAATGCCTCATTCTAAAAAAAGAGATAGGACTGAATATTTAACAATATTAATTATTTGGTGGATGATAATATAAAAGACTTTTTTAAATTTTTATTTATTTTTGAGAAAGAGAGATAGAATGCAAGTGGGGTTGGTGCAGAGAGGGAGACACAAAATTCAAAGCAGGCACCAGGCCCTGAGCTGTCAGCACAAACCCATGAGCCGTGAGATCATGACCTGAGCCAAAGTCAGACACCCAACCACTGAGCCACTGAGGAGCCCCTGACATTTCTAATACCAGAAGTGTCCAGGTTAAAGGAGGTTAAGTGGTGCTAAATTAATCAAAATTGGACTGCAGAACCTAGTGATGCCTGAATAAGTTCTAGCAAGTTGTGTTTGGCACAATGCCTCTGGGAGTTACAAAATTATCTTGTTCATAATGAATGGAAAGGCTGTTATTGCAGTCTCTTTTAAGGAAATAATTTTGTTTTTATTCATCTTTTATTCTTCAAAGCATCTAGCATAATGCCTAGAACAGCAGACTCACCCAAAAGTATTTACAGAATGACCAGAAATATTATCATAAAATATGTTGTTCTACTTGTTTAAAACCTGACCTAAGATGAACAACTCTTTGATTTCCTTTTAATGTCACAAACAAGGCTATTTTGATCTCTGGAAGCCACAACTTCCTGTTACCAACCCAAATCCTAATATACTACAGTAATATGTTTTTCTACCTATTAGTGACTCTTAGTTTGTTTGGGCCTAATAAAGTTAAAACAAAACACATAAATGATAATGAGACCCTGCCCTATGTGTAGAATTTCTGGAAGTATGGGATGTAAATTATTAAAACTGGAACCCCCAAACAGGCTGTCAGAATGGATGTGCCATTTTTTTCATGGTCTGAAAATATTTCAAGGTGAGTATCTAGTGTCAAGAGTCAACTTATAGTATTTTTGTGTCTGATATATACCTGAAATGGAAAAGAAAGGAGGGCTAAAGTTGGAAAATAAAAGTCTAAACATCAAACAGTCTTTTGCCTAAGTAATTTGAGGTGCAGGGCTATACATCCATAGGGGGCCTGGAAAGGGTAGGCACAGGCCTTTCTTCATCTGTTTTCTCTTTCAGTTTTATTACCCAGCCCTGATCCACTGTGTGTGGATGAGGCCTATCCCTCTCTCTCCACCTTAAAGGAGCTCACCATTGATTGGGAATGATTGTTGCTGAATTACTCAGTAGGAAATGAGTCTCACATCATATTCACCCAATCAAGACAATTTCAGAACAAATGCCAATGTCACCACCAATACCTCATTCTTGTATTGAGAAACAAGAAAGAGAAAATAAACCTAAAATTTCTGGATCCTGAGATAGTATAGACTTTTAATGATAAAGTGATCAAAATAATCAGTAGACTATGAAAATAAAATAAAATTTGAATATATTTAATCCATATATTTGTTAAAATATCTATTGTATCTAAGTGCTATACTGAGTTCTGAGGTTAGAGGTAGAATGACCAATTGCTTTCCACTGGCAGGAAGACATAGCAGGAGAGGCAAATAAAGATGCTCCATGTGTGGTATGGAAACAAGGGCTAAGGGAAGGGAGACAATGGAGCAATTGATTCTGTTTGGCAGAGATTTTACAGAAAGCCAAAAACTCACAAATAATGAAGATTTCACCAGGATAACAAAGAAAGTTCATGAGCAAAAGTACTGAGACTTGGATAAAATACACACTACAGTTATAACTGTATAACTGAACTACAGTTCACCCAAAAAAAGGCTCAATCTGAAAGAAATACAATTTTTTTTTCCTAATCCACACCCCTAAGTGATCAAACTCTTTGTGCCAGTCCCTTCTTGTTGGTTCAGCGTAATCAGTAACCCTGGAAATAAGTTCCTATATTGAATTCTTTTTTAACAATCCCTTTACTTCTCAGAAAACATTTTGCATGGTTGTATAAGACTAAGTTTTCTTTCAAATATAGAAAATTACCACCTAGCCACTCCCTCCGTTGTCTTTCCTGTCATTATACTACATTGCATTCTTGGAAGACATTCCTGAGCCACTTAAGGGACCCGGCTCTGTGCTTCATAGGACACAGTACTTCACATAATGTTGTACTTCTTAGCCCACTTTGTAACTGTCTGTACATCCATGTCCCCATGACAGTGTAGGCTCCTTAAAGACAGGATTGTGTTTAACCACAGTATTCCCAAGGCCTGCCCAAGTGCTGGACCCATAGGTGGCACTCAATAAAAATCTATTAAATGAATGAGTGTTGCATTGTTTGGGGTTTATGGCCCCAACATCCTCTTGTGGGGTACTGGATCAGGCCTGGCCAGGACAGGAGTCAATAGGGCTGGCAACTGAGGATTACATCCCAGGAAAGGACACACTAACTGAGGAGGTCTGTGGTAGAAAAAGCAAGAGGACTAAATTCAAGCCAAAGTCCTTAAAAAGATGGAGTTTCACAGTCAAGAAAACAAAAATCTAATGGCAGAATCAGAGTCTTAAATGAAAAGAAATCCTAGGCTGTGCCTCTCAAACTGAGGACCTTGTGTTCACAGGAGTATTTGTCAGGGTGCCTTGGAGGACAGGAAGCCATAAGACCAACATGGACCAACTTCCTACTATGTCAGATTTATTCAATGGTGAGTAAATTAAAACATTCTATTTCTGTTAAATATATAGAGAGTAAAATACCAATATTCATGGATTTTACAAATAAAAATGAGATTTCAAAATAGCTCTAGCTTTCAGTGAGACACTTCATTTGTATGCCCAGGTTCCTAGAGGCATATGCTTTTCCCCCTCATATTGGGGGGATCCAGCAGTACAAATTTCTGAGAAGCATAGGTAGGGTAAGATACTAAACAAAACCAAACTTTCAGATACATTGGGCCCAATTCAAGAGAGATCGTGAGCAATTTACAAGAACAGTATTGGGCTATCCATAGCTTGGTTTTTCTGATTTGCATAAAGGTGAATTGTATGAATTAGAGAAAATGTTAAATAGGTGACTAGATCCTAACTTTTTTAAACTAAAATCAAGTGTTTCTTACAAACAATTACAAAGCAATCCATAAAACAAGATTTGCCACAAATTGATCATTGTTGAAACTAGGTAATAGATACTCTGAGGCTTCATTTTACTATTTCCTTTATTCTTTTATTTATTTGAAAGTTCTCATACTAAAAATGTAAAGAGACTAAGGTGCTTAGTTATAAATTAATGTGCCAATAAGCAAAAGGAAGAAAATGTACAAAAAGACAATTCCATCACCCAGATACCACCATTTTGTAGTATTATTTTTCTAGACTATCTATGCATAGAGATAGATAATTTTTTTAAATCTATAAGAAATATAATTTTATTGTTCAGACACTACCATATTTTAGCATTAATTTTCTAGCTACTCATAGATAGAAATTATATGGATATTTTAAAAATTGTGTTTGACTCTCCAAACTCATTCTACCTTACTCTCCATTGAATAGCAGCACTCTGGTTTCGGAAATCGACCTTACTTAACTCAGTGTGTGAGCCTGACTGATCTAAAGAGAATCACAGGGGCGCCTGAGTGGCGCAGTCGGTTAAGCGTCCGACCTCAGCCAGGTCACGATCTCGCGGTCCGTGAGTTCCAGCCCCGCGTCAGGCCCTGGGCTGATGGCTCGGAGCCTGGAGCCTGTTTCCGATTCTGTGTCTCCCTCTCTCTCTGCCCCTCCCCCGTTCATGCTCTGTCTCTCTCTGTCCCAAAAATAAATAAAAAACGTTGAAAAAAAAATTAAAAAAATAAAAAAATTAAAAAAAATAAAGAGAATCACAGTCCCTTTACCAGCAAATGATGTAATTCTAGCCAATGATATATGAGGAAACGGTTTCTAGAGACTTCTAGAAAAGTACCTCTTCCAGTATTTATAACAAATGAAAGCCATTCTTTACTTCTCTATCTGAATATGAATGAGGAAGCGAGCAATTCTTAATTGCACCTGGAATCTATCTCATATTTGGAGAATCAGTTGTAGGATGATGCATAATTTGGATGACAGTGCAAAGTAAAACCACCTGGTTCCTTGATAACATTATTGGGTCACCTAATCCACCAACCCTGAAGGGTGTCCTACATCTGTGCTTGATGAATTGAATGAATAAATCTAATAATTTTAGCTATAAAAACAAATATATCATTTTGAATTCATTTTGAATTGGATGCTCTGTTACTTGCTGCTGGAACTATCCTGACAGCATGCAGTTTAGTCTTTTTTCTGCTTAAGGATGAATCATGAACATCTGTCTGTATCGGTAAATTCAATTCCTCAGCATCATTTTGAGTGCCTGTGTAGTACTCCATTGTGTGTACTCCATTGTGTACCTGTACCTTGCCAACATCTCCAAAGTGTATTATGCAATCTTCTTGTACTGCTAAATGCATGAGGTTCCCTAGCAGTGACTCCATTAAAGAAATGGTCTCAATATCAGTATCCTTTTTGAAGGCAAACTGCCCATCTGCTGAATGGCACTGTAATAAAATAGCAGCTGTATGTTCAAAATTATTTTATCTAAGTTCAATATTTGACACCAAGATAGCAGTTCTTTCTTGTGAATCCATGGAAAGTTTTAGATGGCATTGTCTTCGTTTCCACCTGTCATGAGCAGGCTATGAAGGCACACACACGAGTAGTGTCTTTCCACAACATCAGCTTTATTCAATCACAAAGCAAAGTCAATCACAATTATAAAGCAGGTTCAGGATTCCAAACTCAATGACCTTTCACCATGTGATTAAACTTGGTTTAATCACACAGAAAAGAACATAAGACAAACCACGCAACAAACAAGACAACAGAAGGGTGTAGGAAGTTAACAAACCAAACTAGAAGTCAGTCTATGGGTGCACAGTTGAAATAAAGACCAGGTCTGAGTCTGGATCAGCTCTTGGAATTTCCTGCTTATTATGTTCAAGCGGTGAAGGATCTCAGTTCTGTTTGGAGATCAATCCAGCAGAGTCTTCAGGCACAGTTGCTTTTTTTAAGTGGTCAGACATAGAGGGGTCATGTCTGAAGAGTCTGACAGTTTGCTGCAAAAATCTTTCCCTTTTAAAAAGGAGTTAAATCGGTCTTGGGCCCCCTACCAACCTCCTTTGCTTCTGCTTGTTACCAGTTCTGGGTGTCAGCTGATGCTGATCCCAGCGATATATCATAGCTGCAGTACCTTTGCTTGCATCATCACTTGACACAGTCCCTGCTTGACACAGGCTCCTGCTTGACATGAGAGACTCCATTTTGTTCTCTGCACCACGTTTCATTAAGGAAAACATTCCTATAACCTGATACTACAGCAATTCTGCCACCTCACGTGGGATGCCATGCAAAGTTCCTCCTCGCTGAGCTCCAGGCAAAGGTAGAGTTCAGTGGCAAGATATTTGTTAGGACTGTTTTCCCAGCATATTCATGCATCATTCAGAAGTGTCAGAAAATAGTGCTCCCCAAAGAAACTCCGGCTGTTGTAGGGAAAGGTAGGTTTTGAGAAGGTCCCATTTAAGAGTTTTTAAATTTGATATGTCATGTTAACCAGCTATCCTTTGACTGGATGCAATCTTCTCAAAAAGGGCATTGTATTACCAGATTAGGATTAGGATAATCTAAAAAGAATAGATAATAATTTATTTGAGCTATAACATTCTTATCTGTTATCAAGGACCCCTAATATGGGTATAGAAAGTGTGAAAAGGGGCAATAATTTGTGTGTGAATAGTCAACTAGTCATATCAAATACTGTATCATGATTAAAAGAACATCATTAAGCCATAACTATTGCAAATATCAGTACTCTACTAAATTTGCACTTGTGCCACTTCCCTGGTTATTTGCCTTTAATTTGAGGTGGTTTGTCAAAATCTCAAATACTCCCGCTATTTTGGATTTCATGAACAGACAGGCTAATTTATGTCCTATTCATCTCCTTTGTTCTAATAAAATAGTGCTGCTGAATTGGCAAGGGTCCTAATTCAGATTATTTTATGAATAGAAAATTAAATTTATTGGCATAAAATAGAACAACAGTGAATATTCACTACAATCTACTCTTTAATTGCTTAGCACATATCCAAAGACATACCTATCGCTCCAAAAATATCTTCACCAAGCACAACCCATGTGCCACCCAAAATACCCACCTCATTCCCAATGGGAATTTGTACTAAGTCCTGTCTATTCGACTTTCACAAGGTCCTGTGGTAACTGTTCTTCAAGTTCAAGCTTTCTGTACAATCTCCTTCAGTACAGTTGAGTCAGACTCATGTCAGCCATGGGTTAGATGATGAGTTTTCCTATTCTTCAATCAGGGTCCCAAGAAGAAATAGCACAATTAAATAGGTTAACTTCAAGGAGGAGTATTTACAAAGGAACTATTTACTAAGGAATGGATGTGTGAATTACAAGGTAAGATGTAGGAACCTGGAGTTTTTTAGCAGTTGAGCTATGACCCCTATACCAGAAGTTACCAAAGGAGAGAGTCATGTAGAGTGATTTGGCTTGAGATGATCAGTGGCCTTCAGTGAGGGACACAGAAGGCAAACTTGCAGAGAGGAAGCCAGGAGATAAGTATCTTGACCCTATCTTCTCCCCTCCCTGTGATTCTCCTTATACCAGTTAGGCTCACTCATTGAGCTAAGGTCAATTTTTCAAACCAGAGTGCTGCTATTCAATGGAGAATAAGGAGGAATGTATTTGGAGAGTCAAACACAATTTTTAAAATATCTATCTAATCTCTATGAGTAGACTGGAAAATTAATCCTACAATATAATAGGGTCTGGGCAATGGAATTATATTTCTTATGGATTTTATAGTGCATACTCTTAACAAGAGATCACATTCTTCCATTTCTTCTCTCTAAATGAGATATTTTATTATAGTTACTCTGCCTTTGGTGTGCCTTTAATTGCCCCTCTGAATGTGCTGTTTTCCCTCTACCCTCCTTCTACCTTTCTTTACCCTACTCTTTGTCCTGGGAGGCTGACCGATATAGACACCATTAATGGATTCTTATGTCCTCTGGCCTCCAGTTGGTCTAAGCCAATGGGGAGGCACAGCAGTAGATCTGTGATGCAAAAGTTGGTTTGGGAGTATGCTGAGGACAAAAGTAGGTCTGACAAATATGTCAATATTTTAGAAACTCTGTATCAGGTATGAGGATAAGGAGCAAGTGAGAAATTAGTTAAAGGAATGAAGAAAGGACTGATGATGCAACAGGGCAGTATTCCTGAGAACCATGGGGGATCAGGTTCCAAGTAATAGAGAAGCATGCTTGAACTTGGGTTTGTATGTAAGAAAAAGGTAGAAATCCCATTGAACAGGACTTTCTATAAATGCTCATGGAAGCATAATGACAGTGAGTGTTCTCTTTTATAAACCAGTCTGAGAACTGAGGACCTTTCCTTGGGCTATTTATCAAAATATTCAAAACATAGAGATGCCTGCATGGCTCAGTTGATTAAGCATCCAACTTTGGCTCAGGTCATGACCTCATGGTTCATGAGTTCAAGCCCCACATCGAGCTCTCTGCTATCAGCACAGTGCCAACTTTGGATACTCTGTCTCACGCTCTCTCTGTACCACCCCCACTCTCTCTCTCTTTCTTTCTCAAAAATAACAAACATTTTTTTAAAAAAGAAAAAATACTCAAAACAAAAAAATGTAAATCCCTAAGAATTTTTTCTGAGAACTCCCTATGTATATTCTCCATATTCCATATTGTTTGTCAGTTCATGATATCAAACCTGAAAAAAAAAGTTAATTTTTCTTCCCAGTAGGAGACATTTTGTTTAAGGCATGATATACTTAAATATTTAAGATAGTCACATGATAATTTTTTATTTTTCATTACTTTGAGAGGTTAAAAGATCTGAGTTATAGCAGGATATGTAATTGGGTTTAAAATAATAACTATGAGGATAGGCACCATACAAATACTATTTATTTTTAAAAAATAAGCCTCTTCCGGTCAAACACATATTCAGTTAATAAAAACTCAAAATACATGTATATGCAGAGTTTATTTTTCTTTAATGTTTATTAATTTTTGAGAGAGACAGAGACAGAGACAGAGACAGAGTGAAAGCAGGTTAGGGGCAGAGAGAGAGGGAGACACAGAATCCAAAGGAGGCTCCAGGCTCTGAGCTGTGAGCACAGAGCCCAATGTGGGGCTTGAACTCACAAACTGCGAGATCATGACCTGAGCCAAATTCCAATGCTTAACTGACTGAGGCACCCAGGTGACCCATATTTCTTTCTTTCTTTCTTTTTTAATGTTTATTTATTTGTGAGAGAAAGACAGAGTGTGAGTGGGGGAGGGCAGAGAGAGAGGGAGACACAGAATTGGAAACAGGCTCCAGGCTCTGAGCTGTCAGCACAGAGCCTGATGCAGGGCTCGAACTCATGAGCTGTGAGATCATGACCTGAGTCAAAGTCAGACGCTTAACCAAATGAGCCACTCAGGCGCTCCCAGAATTTATTTCTGATTTGCTTTTGATATTTAAGAACTGAGAAATATATTTCACAAATGCAGGAGCAAATCAACAAAGTTGAACACAGCTAGGCTCTCCATGCCAAATACCTACAGTTAAAAAGAAGTGTTTTAATGATGAGTCCATTCTATTAATAACTTTAAAAATATTATTTTTGAAAAAAAATAAAACTTGGCCTCTTAGGACTGTTATTTGGCATGAAGAAAACTATTCTTTCCCCTAAATCCTAATGTTTAGACATTAGGAAAAATAACAGAATAGTATTATCAAGATGTAAATAAATAACTTAAAATCTAAATGAATGCTTCCCCCATCTCTGTCCCATAGTCATGACTAATAAGGTTAAAATTCAACTACTTTAATATATCAACCATAACCTCTTGGTTTGCCTTCATTACTTCTCTATCATCATTTAATGAAGGATTATATTTTCAAACTATAGTTTAATCTACCTATGATATATGATATATCATATGATATATGATTCATGTTCCATGAATAGAGATGATGAAATCCAGGAGAAGGAGCTAGACTGAGAAACAATTGGTAGGATGATTAGTTGGGAGTACCACAGAAGCAAGAGCCAGGCAGGTCAACCCATGCATATCTCCTTCCTCCCCATCCTGCCTAAGAAATGGCAGTATCTACCTCCAGGCAAGAAAGATGAATATGGGCACTTACTGCAGAGAAACAGGGCAATGTTCTTGAGGGCTAGCGGCACAAAGAGGAATGCGGAGAATTCAAACCCAGACCAGTTATTAAGTTACCCTATCAAGTATAACTTCCTTCGCTAGATTTAGAGAGAATTTAGTAGAAGAAATATTTCAGGACAGAATCGTCTAGAATTTTCCAGAACTGCACAAGGACATGAAACCTCACAAAGAGTCAGCAGGGGCCATACAAAATTAAAAATACAGAGAAGAGATAGTGAAATCTTAGAATATAAAGTGAAAGAGGAGAATCCTGAGGCCACTTGAGAGAAAAGATAGATTCCTTACAGGACAATAAAAACAGCCTTTGCATCAACATTTTGCTTACAGTGAAAAAAATGAACAAAATATTGAGTGAAAAACCTTCGAGCCTGAAATTCTATAGTTAGTCAAGTTATCAAGTAAACAAACCATTTTCAGAGAAAACAATAACTGGGAATTTAATGGTCTTGTTTTCTAGTTCTGTATGAGTTTAGCTTAATGTTAAGTATCAAACAAGTTTTAACCATATTTCAGATATAATATGCAGCTGATCCTGTCCTTAGGCCCCCTGCCAATTGCCTGCTATGGATGAATGTGATTGCTAGTTTCCCTGCAACTAATTCAATTCTTTAGAAGCTACACTCAATTTGTTCCTTTGTCACACACTTATTTTCTACCTGTTCTTCCTACTGCCTCACAAAGAATGATGTAGGGTTTTTTAAAATATTTTTTTTAATGTTTATTTATTTTTGAGAGAGAGAGAGAGAGAGCACGAGCAGGGGAGATGCAGATAAAGAGGGAGACACAGAATCTGAAGCAGGCTGCAGGCTCTGACTGTCAGCGCAGAGTCCTACTAGGGGATCGAACTCATGAACCATGAGATCATAACCTGAGCCAAAGTTGGAGCCTCAACTGACTGAGCCACCCAGGGGCCCCTAGAATGACATAGGTTTTAAATTTATGTGGAGTCTCATGTCTCTGCCCTGAGTCCCATATCTCGAAAGCCCATCCTTCTACAATCCCACATATCTACCAGACTTGAGACAAGGTTTATCCCAATCCGG